TGGCGAGATTTCATCTCCATCAGGTTTCTATTTTACTTAAAAAAATAAAAAAAAATCCTGTTGTTTTCTAAAATTGTAACAAGTTTGATTAAAATCACAACTTAACTATTCATGCATGCCTTATGCTGATGTTAAGAAAATTGACACAGTTAATAGAAAGATCCATTTATTATCACAAAACAAAACTAAAATATGAGGTATATTTAATATATTAAAATAATAATTAGTGTAAAACATACTAAACTTGATAATAAAGCATATGTATAACAGATAGCTCTTTTTTAAATTATGCTAATAATAATTTAGAACCTATTAGAAATAATTGAATATTGATATATACTGTGGTTCCATCAATATTCGTTGAGCACCAATTTTCGTGGATTTCGTTGTTGAGCAGATCCACGAATTCAAATGTTTATTGAATTACGAAATATAACATACGTTTGTGTATGCAATGCTTTTGTCAACGAAATTACGTATCCTCGAAAATGTCTTTTTTACAAAATCCACGAAAATTGATGCCAACGAAAATTAATGAAACCACAGTATTTCAATTTCACAACTTCTTTTCCCTTATAATTTTTAAAATGGAATTCAGTACAAGTTAACGATTGTATCAATGTACAAAAATTTAATTATTTACTATTTATATATAGCACGTAAATGTCAGGATTGTTTTCGGCAGAATTTGATTTGTGTTTTACGCAAAAAAGCCATCAATATATTTCTCCTTCCTTCACTCATGTATTTGTGTTTCTGTCTTCCCCTGGCGCAGATACCTGTTCAACCTCACCATACTCGGCATTGCATCAATTTAAACTGAAATATTTATATAAATTTTATTTCGAATTGTTTAATCCATTTAATAAATTTCCAATTCGCTTCTTTTTAATACATACTTTACATACAAACCTTTCCGTCTTTTCTTCCTAAAATTGAAAAAAAATCAAAAGTCTTTATGTAAGAACATCTAAACAGAGCTACATTTGGATAAAAGGATGAAATAGTTAGATCCAACATACTGAAAACAATGATATAATTCTGTTTATTTTAGGTGATGATAAATTTATGAATACTTTATGAAATGCTATCATTTTGTTAAAAAACATTCTGATTGTACACACAAGTACTCTGAAGTTGATATTATTCAGTGTAACAATCACTATTGCACTTGTAATATAATTTGTATTTCCCGCGTTTTGTCCCTATGCTTATTATACCCATAAGTCCCTGCAAAATAGCTTAGCCGACCAGAACAATTGAGGCCTGGTCATTCCCGGCAGAGAAACGTAGCTGCAGACACGTTTTTTTAAGCAGCTAGTATATGTTAATAGCCATACAAGCTTTATCTTGACACTGGCACGGAGACAGGTCCGTGGTAAGTATTTACTTATGATATTATGATATTATTTGCTTTGTATATAGTTTTTATTTCAAAGGCAAATTTATTATTGAGTACAACTTCGTTCTTATTTCTTAACTTGGCCAGCTCTCACCATTTTACCTGTTGTTCACTCAGGTGTGACGGTTAGCGAGAGTGTTCGAGTGGCTGTTGTATAATATCGATAACGTTTAAAGTTCTCATTGTTAAATGTTCGCTATTTTCTTGTACTCAGTTTTGTTACTTTGTGTAGAATATTTTGTCCATTTAAATTTTGTTTTAAATGTCTGGGCGGAAGTCAATGACCGGAAGTTGAAAGTAAGGTGCGCCATATTGGCAATAAATTGTTTTGACTTTTGTTAACTGGTTACCATTACACTTAATATTTTTTTTTGATTATTTTTTATATTGAGAATGAATAGCCAAATATATATAGTGGTATTGGCAAACATGTGTAGTGAAACATGTGATTTATAAATATGCATCATTGTAGCGTCATGGATATTGGTATGACCTGTGCTTGATACATAGACTGAGCTGAGGGGATCATTGTGACGGCGAAAGGTTCCAGGGACTAAGGCCCGGAAGAGTGCTGTGCGTGGATCCATATAATTGTTGGTGAACGGATAACAGATAAGTCTATCCAAGAAACTTTGAGTTAGCGCTTTATAAGAAAAGGCAAACTTTTGATTTCATTCCTGCATCGAGGATGAGGATGATGTTGATGATGATGGTCGTGATGATGATGAGGATAATCTATGATCTGTGAACATGTTTGGCATTAATAACTTAATTAGATACCCGGGGTGATTGGCTGATTAATGAATTTGTTAATTGGGTAATTGTTGATTACCAATTTTTTTTTCTTTGTTTGATTGTTTAATAGTGAGAAAGAGGGTGTGAATTTGTGTGCGGTAGTTTTTGTGAGATCTTTGTTATTATTATTATTTTTTCTTGTAAATAAGTTTATTAAACTTATTGAACTTGTGTGATTCTTGGAGATAGCCAGCTTGACCACGTGACATTTGGTGGCAGCGGTGGGATTGCTGACCCTCTCCAAATTACACATTTTCACTAAGTAGGTGTAGGTTTGCCAAGTAGTTGTAAATACGTTAGGTTAGTTGTAGTAGTTACTCTTGGGATTCCTGTATAGTTACACAGAGGTAAGTGAAAGTATGGTTCTCCCTTACGTAGGTTAAAGGTAAAGTGACGTTAGACATATTTGTTAATTAGAAAGAATATCATTCTTGGATTATTAAAGTTTGGTAAGCTGGCTCAGTACTTATAGGCACGATGACAACCATCAAGGAGATGAAGGAACTCTTGGAAGTTGGGACGCAAATGGGACTCAAGAATGCAGAACTTCAACAGTTTGTGAACAATGAACAGGTAAGACTTAAAGACGAACGTGAGAAAGATCGTGCAGAACGTATGGCTAAACGTTAGCGTGAATATCAGCTGGAACTGGAATCCATGAAGGAACAGAACGCTGAGGCTGAACACAAGAGGAAAATTGAAGAGATGGAAATAGATCACAGATTTCAAATGATGGCAGCAGAGAGATCACATAAAGTTCTTGAGTCAACTTCGCTACATCATACTGAAACACAACAACCTGTTAGAGGACCAAAATTACCAGCGTTTGATGAGGCAAAAGACAACATCGACGCGTACATACAGCGATTTGAAAGATACGCTATCTCACAGCAATGGCAAAGACAAAATTGGGGAGCTCACTTGAGTGCACTTCTAAAAGGAAAAGCGTTGGATGTGTTCGCTAGATTTCCACCAGACAGTGCGTTGGACTTTGATGAACTTAAGAAAGCACTGATGAAACGGTTTGACATGACTGAGGATGCATTTAGAAAGAAATTCAGATCTTCAAAACCTAATGGTAGTGAAACCTTTATTCAGTTTTCAACTAGACTTGAAAGTTACATGGAACGATGGATGGAGTTATCGAAAACAGTTAAGACATATGAAGGACTAAAAGACTTGATGTTACGTGAACAATTCATTTTGTGTTGTAACAAAGAACTTTCCTTATTCTTGAAGGAACGAATTCCTCCTTCTATTCAGGACATGGCCAGATATGCTGATCAGTATGTTGAGGCGAGAACAACTTGTTCATCAGCTATTACACAATGACCAATCTTCGACAAGAAAGTTTCCTTTGGAAAGCAATTATCTTTTCCAAGTTCTAGTGAAGGAACCAAAACAAGTGGTGGAATCAAGTGTTTTAATTGTGATAAATATGGACACAAGCAGTTTGATTGCCCTTCGAGGAAGTCCTCAGCAATTAAGACAAACACACAGGAAAAATCTGATAGACCACAGAAACCTTCTAAACCTTCATTTGTTGTTGAGACACGCAGTCAACTGAAGAAGAAGCAGTTGCCTTATAAACCATTGAGGGTTCCTGAAACTCTTCAAGATGTGTCACGTGATGAGATGTTAAGTGAACAGACGAAAGACGATTCGCTAAGCAAGAGTTGGGACATTGCTAAACAAGGGACAGTAAAGGAGATCGGTGATGGAGGTTCAACCAGGATGTTTATACGGAAGCAATTACTCTACAGAGAATTCAGTAGTCCAAAGGTGTCAAATGGAAAGACGTATCGACAGTTGATGGTTCCAAAGAAGTATAGACCAATGGTTATGAAGATGGCCCATGAATGTCTTATGGCAGGACATTTAGGTGTTAAAAAGACTACAGACAGAATACTAGCAGAATTCTTTTGGCCAGGAGTACAAGCAGATGTCAGGCGATTTTTTCGTTCGTGTGACGTATGCCAACGAACAATACCTAAGGGAAGAGTACCTGCAGTTCCTCTTGGACAAATGCCCATGATATCAGAACCATTTCAACGCATAGCTGTGGATATTGTTGGTCCGCTTCAGCCAGTTACAGACAGAGGGAATCGATATATCCTCACTATCATAGACTATGCGACCAGGTATCCAGAAGCTGTGGCACTTAAAGGAATCGAAACAGAACGAGTTGCAGAGGCGCTTGTAGACGTTTTCAGCAGAGTTGGTGTTCCATCGGAAATGCTTACAGACCAGGGATCGCAGTTTACATCTGAGGTTATGAAGGAAGTTAGACGATTGCTGTCACTCAAACGCCTAACTACAACGCCGTATCATCCGATGTGCAACGGCCTTGTCGAAAAATTCAACGGTACATTAAAGCAGATGCTCAAGCGCATGTGTGCTGAACGCCCGAGTTTCTGGTTGACACTATCTATGTGGTTTTTGGAGACCACGTCTTCCAACAATCTATTAGAATTTCCATGGGTACCAATTGCGCCCTGTTATTGCGTTGTAGACCTATTTTTGTATTCATATGAAAGAGAATTTATGCAAATCTTATACATGAAAAGAAGACAACACTCGCTATGGCCTACATTCCGACATTTAAATATGTCGACGACGACGTATTGTCATTTTACAAAGGTTATAATATCTCCATTATTATGTGATACGATATATATCACAGTAACCTCAAAATAAAAGATACCAAAGAGGCTGACACATCTAATTCATATATTTAGATATGTTACTTGAGAAAATCAACTTTTCAATCGTCAACTTCCCTTACTTATGCAGTAATATACCTTCATCGCCTGCATATGGTGGCAGGGGCATCATCTCTCAGTTAATTCGATACGCAAGGACATGCTTTACGTACGAACAATTTTTTAAACGAGGCAAGTTTTTATGAAGAGGTTGCTGGAACAATACTTTCAGCAGTCTCGTTTAAGATAATCATTTCGTTAGTTCTATGGTCGATACAATGACTTTGTCAGCAAATGCAATTTATCCTAAAGCCAACTGCTGACTACACCATACTATATTACCAATGAATTGTCGACGTATTTTATCGGTATTTTCCGAGCATGACAAGGAGCACAAGGTAGGTGTGTTCGGTCAGCAGGGGATGCTCACTCCTCCATGGCACCTGATCCCACCTCTGATGTTTCGGAGGTCCGTGTTTGCTCTGCTCCTATTTTGTAATGTTTATTGGATTTTTGAGCTTGAAAACTGTTCGTTATATTTCATGCTGATAGATTAGGAATTGCTGTCAAATAATCCCTAGTCATTGTCTTAAAAGTATTCTTACAAGTATAAAGATGTGGTGCAATTTAAACATCAACATCATATCTCTATTTTGAGAAATTTGGAAATCTGAATAAAAATTTATTCCTATTAAAATATGGTCTGCAAATAAAACTCCTTTTATTTAATTTACCTACCTGCACAGAATTAGATCCGGGCTATAAATATTCTTTTATTTTTATTTCTTTTATTTCCTTGTACAGTATGCATCTCGTTGCTCTCCCTTTAAAATAAACACTAATGAAAGTTAAAATATTAGTGTATACGGTCAGAAATACAATAATGGCATGACACATAAAATACAAAAGATAAAAACGCAGTGGCCCTGTGTCAGATTTCTTTCGGTTTTTTTTAAAGGACATTGGCAAGGTTCCTGGCTTTCGTATAGAAATTTTCAAGAACTTTTAAACAGGTTAAATGGTACCAAACATGTTTAAATTTGAGTTACTTCCCTTTGCATTTAATTTTCATTCATAATGGTCAAGAGACTGGTTGATTGTTTCTATCATCTCATTTAGTTTATTGGAAACAAATTGTCATAAAAATATTGGCATGGCTTTAATATTGATTTTTTTTATTCGTAGTAACTAAATGGTGCCTTTTTCAAATGATTTATAGAACCGTTCTCATCCGGTCTACCTAGATTTCACCATCTAAGTCACATCTTTTTATATACTTACTTACCGGGCTGTTTGTTCCTTTTGTTTCCCTAGGAATTAAAACATTATTTCAAAAGACGTTAAAATTGAAGATTAACGTCATTATCAAGTAAATATATATGCATAAAATTAAATTCAGTAACATTTAGTCTAGATTGATTTTTACTATAAAATATATTAGTTAAAAAGA